TAGAGCTTTGTGGGAGGGTCTCAGAGCTGGGAGGGGGTCCGGCTGGGAGCCGGGTGCCGGCCCTCGGCTCCCCTGGCACCTCTGATCTTCAGTGTCCCATCCCTACGACGGATCAGCTCGCCATGCCCAGGAGGCTGGTGGGGGAAAGTGCCTTAGCAGGGGCTTCAGGATCTCTGGGGATTCGCACACCATGTCCAGCCCCACCCCCAGGCACCTGCTCCCTGAGAATCTGATGTGCACCTCACCCCACAGGGTGAGAGCCTGAGCAGGTCACCGGCTGGAGAGTGCGATCATAGGACCAAGGGGAATCCCTCGCTGACCAGACTGCTGGGATTTCTAGAGTCACACGTAGAATTCTGGGGCTTTCCAGCTGGAGCACTTTCAACAACACCCGGCGCGCCCTGTGTTGGGGTGTTGAGGTCTTTTCAACTATGATCTCCTTGGTCTTAGCTTGTGGCTCCTCCATGGGGAAAGGACAGGTGTAGAGAGGGGTGGCTCCTGGCCAAATTGGCCTCCCTCCAGCCTCCCGCCTGCATTATTCATGCCCATTACGCTCGCACTTGATCGCACATAACAACAGTGCTATCTCAGGCAGGCGCCACAGCCCAGGAGAAGGGGGCAGGCGGGCGGCAGCGGGGACTGAAGCAGGTGGGGTGACTTGCTCCTGCTTTCACGTGCTTCTCACATCTCCGGCAGCTCCATTGGGCACTGGCCCCTTCACGTGACTCTTGTTTTTCTTCATGGCACGTAGGCCGTCATGTATTGTTTATTTCTCTGACGTGGTTACCGCTGTATTCCCCAGTTTCTAGAACAATGCCTGGCATCTACAGGGTGGGGCAAAAGTAGGACCACAGCTGTGAGTACACACAACAGTTTAGTCTTGTATTATTATTTATTATTGTATTGTTTTCCATTGGAACAACGGTAGACCTACTTTTGCCCCACCCTGTAGTAGATGCTAAATAAATATTTGTTAGATAAACGCACACGTTGTTGCACTTGAAGGTTCTCAGCAACTTAATGTGGCCCAGGGGGCAGAGGGCGCTGCTCCTTATTTCCCAGATGTGCAGACCGAGGCCCAGGAGCCCGGCTTCGCTAAGTCACCAGGGAACCGAGGGAGCCCCAGGGCTGAGCCCTAACCAGGGGCTGCGTGTGGGACGGGCGCGGAGAGGCTCTTCGCACCCTTGGCCTGGGCCCCAGACCTGTGCAAAGTCTCCTGGAACATGCAGATTCCAACCACAAGGAGGCCTCTCCTCACACCTGTCAGAATGGCCACCATCAGTAAATCCATAAACAAGTGCTGGCAAGGGTGTGGAGAACAGGGAGCCGTCGTGCACTGCTGGTGGGAACGCAGACTGGCGCAGCCACTGTGGAGAACAGTATGGAGCTCCCTCCAAAATCTAAAAATGATTTAGAATCAAAAGATTCAAAGGAATGTATGCACCCTGGCAGGGTAGCTCAGTTGGTAAGAGCATTGTCCCAAAACGCCAAGGTTTGGGGTCCAATCCCCAGGCAGGACACATACAAATATCAACCAATGAATGCATGAATAAGTGGAACAACATATCTATGTTTCTCTCTCTCCCTCCCTCTCTCTCTCTCTCTCTCTCTTCCTCTCTCTTTAAAAAAATCAAGAATATATTGGATACATTGGAGAGTTATTTCCAATGCCAAGATCTGGAGGCAGCCCAAGTGCCCATCAGTAGATGAGTGGATAAAACAGCTGTGGTGCATTTACACAGTGGGATACTACTCATGTATAAATGTGATGGAAGGAGATTTGACTTGGGGTGGTGAACACACAATACGATATACAGACGATGTATTATAGAACTGTACACCTGAAACCTATATAATTTTATTAACCATGTCACCCCAATAAAGTCAATAAAAAATAAGTACAAGGTCTCGTTGGGGCTTCTGCTCAGAAAGTAGATAAGCTACTCAGAGATACAGTGAAAAGAAAAGGAGATAGTTATTCCCAGCAGAGGGACTTGGAAGACAGACATTTCAGAAACCATTGGCCTGTGGGTGGGAGAGGAAGGGTGACATCAGGTGGCTTTCTGGTGCCTTCAGTTCCACCCTTACTCACGCTATTTACCTGCCCCCCCCCCCCAGGTGGTGAGCTCCCTGTCACTGGAGGTGTTCAAGCCGTGGCTGGATGTCTATTTATGGAGTTTGCCTGAGTTGGAGAGTCGTACTCACATCCTAGGAGAGGCAGGCATGCTCCGTCACAGAGCAGGCACTGTGGGCAGACAGCGGTCCCAACGCCAAACACAAGAGGCTTTGCGCCACCTGGTGGACATGGTTTTAAACTGCAGAACCTTCCATGGGAGGAAGCACCTGTGTCCTCAGAAACCTGGGCTGTGAAGCCAGAGCAGGAGGAGCCGCAGTTTGTGAGAGCTCAGCCGGGTCCTGCACTGGGCAGGCGTCAGAGAGGCTACACTGGGAGGGTTTATTAACGGGACGCGGGTTGCTGAGCTGTGCCTTGGGATCGGAAGGGACACATCCTTCCCTAACTTCATTCCGGATTGCTGGACGACACGCTGGGACGCTGCCTGGAGGGGGGCAGAAGGCTCGTTTGCTCCTCCTGCTTGACTCTGTACCGGGGAGTGACCCTGAGCTGTCTTTGCCCAGAAGTAAAGTTCCCCACGTGTTCCGTTCTGCAGGAGCTTCCAGGGAACCACACCCGCAACCCCCATAACAACCCCCCAAAACCCCATGGACATCAGATTCTGAAAGGTTTTGTCTACCACGGTGCATGCTTTCATTACACGGGCTATACTGTCATCTGTGTTTATTATCTTATTGTGTCATTTGCTGTCTTCGAAGGCCTTTGCACCTGCCAACAGAGCACAATGAGCTTCGGGGGTGAGCGTTTCCTCACCGAGTTCACTGCATTTGAGCAAAAACAACGGCACCAAGAGGCCAGCAGGCCTCAGGAGCAGCTGAGGTGAGAGGGTGCTGCCGGCTCCCGCACACTGACCGGGCCTGAAGGCACCCTGCCCTGCCTGCCTGAGCCCGGCCAGGCCAGCTGCTGCTCCCACCAGTCCTCCTTCTGGTCTCATGTCTTTCTGAGGAAAGGGCCTGATTGCAATTACCCCACGCCTAGACCTGGGTGTCAGGGCAGCCAGGCTCCGGGGAAGGCGCAGGGAAGCCCACAGCACAGGCCTGGGCCGGCTCTCCAACACACCTGCTGGGCGCCCCACTGCTCCCCAGGTTTCCCCCGAAAGCAGCTGCCCCGTGACATGACGTGGGGACGTGCAGGTGGGGCTGCTGGTCTCCTGCTGCTGCTCCTCACGGGTCCCTCTCCCTAAAGGCTCCTCCTCTCCTGTGGGAGGTCTCAGCCCTGACATGGGGAGCCAGGCCCACAAGCATGAACCTCAGGAGCCCTTCACCCCTCAGGGACCGGCCTCCACCATTGGCCTCTCCTGGTCCCCACACCTGCACTTCCTTGGCCCCTCGTGATGGGGAGACCCACCGCCCGCCGCACCCCCACACCTCACCCCTCCCAAGGGAAGGGGGAGGGCAGAGCAGCCTGGACGCTCCTCCTTAGGGACGCTTTCCCTGACACCTGCCAAGCCGAATCCAAATGCACCGTGCCACTTTGTCACCAGGACCGGGGCGCCTCTCTGCCTCTCCCAGGGCCTCCTCTCTGCATCAGGGCCTGCTCTCCTCTGTATGTCCCCCTCCCCATGAGCCGGTAACTTAAAAGGATTTTGGAATTTAAAAAAAATTAAGATTATGATTAAAACAAGAGGCCCAGTGCACGGAATTTCATGCACTTGGGGGGGGGGTCCCTCAGCCCAGTCTGCACCCTCTCACAGTCCAGGACCCCTTGGGGTTGTCCACCTAAGCCAGCAGGTGACATCCCTCTCGCAGTCTGGGACCCCTCGCTCCTTACCCCCTGCCTGCAGCAGAGACCAGGGAGGCTCCTGCCACCACCACTGCACTCACCAGCCGTGAGCCTGGCTTCTGGCTGAGTGGCGCTACCACTGTGGGAGCGCACTGACCACCAGGGGGCAGCTCCTGAGTTGAGCATCTGCCCCCTGGTGGTCAGTGCACACCATAGTGACTGGTTGACCAGTCTTTTGGTTATTTGGTCTTTCGGTCCCTTAGGCTTTTATATAGAGAGAGATTGATATGTTTAAAATACGCACAGACTTCAGGACAACCCACTTGAAACTCCTCACCCTAGCCGGGGGCGGTCCCAGTGGCCGCGGAGCCAGGGGTCCCAGGAGTGGCCAGGCCCCACCCAGCCAGCACCTCTTCATCTGCCTCATTCACGGGGTGCTCTGCAGGCCCCAGCCCTCGCCCTGAAACATACGTGTTTTCCGTGCGCCTCTGAAAGCGCCGAGAGAGCACTTGGGTAGGAAACACGTGGGGAGCGGCCAGGGGAAGGAGTCGCGAAGGCTGGCACCACTGGCATCCGGCACGAGGACAGGGGGTGGTCACAGCATCGGCCAGGCTTCCTGCTCGGAGCCCCCGACCTGGCAGGCCCCGGGTGGGAGGAAGTGCTACTCATGGTACCTCCTAACCTTCCAGTGTCCTGTGTCAGTCGTACCCCAATAAAGCTGGGGCGGGCGGGGGTGGGGGGGGAGGATCTGAGGGAAAAAGACTTTCTCTGTGTTGTGCTCAGAGACACAGAGAACAGACTGACGGTGGCCAGAGGGGAGAGGGCTTGGGGGGCTGCGTGAACAAGGTGAGGGGATGAGGAAGCACAGGTTGGTAGTCACAGAACAGCCCCGGGATGTGAAGTGCAGCACGGGGAATACAGTACCGATAATACTGTAATAACAGGCCTGGTGCCCGCTGGGAACTGGGAATGCTTTGCAGAGTGTACGACTGTCGACCACAATGCTGAACACCTGAAACTAGTACAAAATAATTCTGAGTGTCAACTGTAATTGAGAAATAAAATTTTAAAAATAATAATAATAAAGAATCTGTGTCAAGGAGAAGTGCAAGAGTTAATGCTGTAAATGGTTTCACTGGATGGAGACAGTGACTTGTATAATTTATTTCACTAACTTCTTACTATACCACTTTTTTCATAAACTCTTTATTTACTGCTGACATTCATGTAACCTGGCCCCCAAAAAAGGACACGACTGTCTACCTTATCAAACCATGAGGATGTACTTCCTGCTTGTTAAGATTACGTGTGAAGAAGTCCCCTTTCACAGGTGTTGTTTTCAGTGACCCACAGCCTTTCAGGAATTTAATTTGTAAACAGTGGGGGTAAACCCAGAGCCTCACCTGATGCCAGGTACACAGCAGGTGCTCAATTCATGCCCCTGGAAGGAAGGGCTGGAGAACCCCTTTGCTCCTGCACCCAGGTGTCCCTCCCTGAGCACAGCCTATGTGCCGGGGGAGATGGGGAGAGGGTGGGGCTGAGCACAGGGCCAAGCGGAGAGCCCAGGGATCCGGGGCCTGGGGTGGTGAGCGCTGCCCAAGCCCAGGGCCCACTCCTGGCCCCGAGAGTCCCAGTGTGGGGTGAGAGTCATCGCCCTGGGGGAAGACACAGCCCCTAGGATACGCAGGTGTTTTCAACCACTGACACACCAGCAGGCCAATGCCAGCACCCTAACTCCATTCTCTTGTCTAAACCTCTGCATCTTGGGCCCATGAAAAAGATGTGAGACCAGAAGAAATGAGGCAACATGAGGGGCAGCAGGCAGCTGTGCTCTGTGCCTTGGGCACGTCACCCCGTCTCTGGCCTCAGCTGTGTGATCTATAAAGGGAGTGGCTGGGGGAACCCCTCCCGCCCCAGGTATGCAGTTCTGGTTGGGGACAATGAGAAAGGCTACGGGGCCTGAGAGCATCCCGGGCCGGAGTCAGGAGACAGCACGGTCCCAGGGCAGATGGGAGGGGCAGGACGCCCTGCCTGGCCCTTTGCGGGGTGGAACTGTCAGAGCCCCTGATGGACTCAGCGGGAGTTTCCCTGCTCGCGAGCGTCCCAGCTTTGAGTCCCAAAGTCCAAGAAGCCTGAGAACTTCCTCCTGCGGTGACTCGGGTTCCGCAGACGGGCTTTCTGACCTGCTGGAGGCAAGCGGCTCGGGGGTTTCCTCCTCCCCAGAAAGAAGGTGCAGATCCACGTTCTGTTTTTGATGAAGTGAAAACACTCCCTTCGCTTCCCGGTGCAGGGCGAGGCTCCGACCCCCAGGAGCCCAGCGGGACTGGGAGCTGCAAAGAGGAAAGCTGGCCCGGCAGCTCAGAGGCCTGTGCTGAGAGCAGCTCTCGGTTGGCAGGGCTGACGGTGACCGGTGACCGGAGTAAGCGCTGCGGAGCAGGCACCCGCTGGGCACTCACAGGTATGGTCTTACGGAGTTTCCCGCTATCCCGAGGGTCAGCCAGGGCAGCGCCCCACCTTGCAGACGAGAAACCTGCGGTCCCGGAGGTGGAACAGCTTGCCCAAAGCCACCTGGCAGGTACGGGCCCAGGCGCACAGGGGCCCAGGCGCGGACAGGAGGCGGTTTCCACTGGGCCACAGTCGCCGTCACCAAAGACTCAACACTGCGGACAGGGGTTGTTGCAGAGACGCAGGCAGAGAGGCAGGGCCAAGCCTCATGCCCCAGACCCTCGCAGTCACTGACGGGAACAGCAGCACTGGGCTCGGGGGACACCCCGCCCTGCAGGTCTGCCTGTGCCCAGACCTCTGAACCTCACGGTGGCGTGGGAACTGAACGAGATGAGATGTAGGCAGGACCCTGAGCGCAAGGCCTGCACAGGGAGCACTTAAACGCCAGGTACCATCGTTGTCGTTATCCCAAAGGTTGACCGAGCAGCCATCCTTTTGTCCGTTCATAGAGGAGCCCTGAGGGCGGCTTTGACGGGCATGTGCCCTTGATGGGCGAGCTGAGGCTGGCGGCCGCTCCCTTCTGTGACCTGGAGGCGTGGGGCTGGATGCCCTCAGCGCCCGGCCACCCTCCCTCGCTGGGCAGGTGGCCAGGGACAAGGCCGGGAGAGCTCATGCCTGTGGCCCCGCCTGGCCCACGATGTCCTGGGCGAGCCTCCCAGTCCTCACGGCTCAGGTCCTCAGGAGGCTCTGAGGTCCCGAAGTGCACCGGCCGGGCATCCCTGCTGCCCGGGGAGGAGGGCGGAGGCGTGCAGCTCGCCGCCCTCACGAGAGACTCGCTCTCTGTCCCATCTGCCCAGGGCCTGGGTCGTGCCCTCACGGAGAGAGCGCCAGCACGTTCGCCTTGAAGCCGGCCTGGCCCTGCTCCCGGCGCTGCGGCTGCTGCGGGCGGCTGCCCTGGTCCGGGGCCGTCTTCCCGGGCAGCTTCAGGAACCTGGAGTCAGGCCCAGCGCAGTCAGCCGCTGCCCAGCCACTGCCCAGCCGTGGGGCTTCCTGCCCACCCGGCGCCGCCCGCCGCCCGCCTCCCTGGGCCCCTCGGCCCAGGCTGCTCACCTGAACAGGAGCTTCTGGCCGGGCTCCTTCCTGATGATGTTCAGCTTATAGTAGTGGCGCAGGGCACGCGACATCTTCTCGTAGGTCATGTTCACGCGGTTCTGGGAGGCAAAGCAGCCACATCACCCTCACTCCCCACCTGCCCCTCCCAGGCCTCGGTTCCCATGGTTCCCACGCCTGGAAGGGAGCAGCCAGGGTTCTGAGAGATTTCTCTTGAGTTTGGAAGGAGGAAGGCAGGGGCAGGTGGGGGAGACACCTTGGGGCGGTTCTCTCATCTGCCTGGCTGAGAACCGGGGGCAGGAGCGGGTCACCTGTAGCTCTTAAAAAGCTAATGTCACCAGCAGTAACAAATAAACATACATGTAGTTGGCGACATCATCACAGAGATAGCCTGGCAAGGGGCCGAGTGACTTCGGCCAGGGGACGGTCTCCCCTCTCCGCAGGGCGGGCAGTGCAGAGCAGCCAAAGTGGCCGGACTGGTGTTACCTCTCTGAACCCGTGTGCCGGCTCTGAGACGAGGACGAGAACATCCGTCTCACAGGTGTGGGGTAAGGATGAACTTGCTAATCCGTGAGGATACGTAGCACGGTGCCTGCCACGTAGTCTGTGCTCATTAAATGAACTTACTACTCTCTGAGCCTCAGTTTCTCCCCTGTACTGTGCAGGGGTTGGACCAAAGAGCACATCCAAACTTTAGTCATTTGCATCCTTCCAGCCACCAGCCGTCCTGAGAGGCCACAAAACAGAGAGGAGTGCAGGGCTGCAGTCTGCGTTCAAGTCCCTGCCCTGCCACCTCCTGGCTGCAGACTCCTGGACAAGTTGGTAAACCAATCTGTACCTCAGTTTCCCCGTCTGATACCTACCTGCCCTCACGAGGCTGTTGTGAGGAGTAAATAAATGAGTTAGTAAAATATAACCCTCAGAGCAGTGCCTGCCAATCAAATGCTATCCCCTTTTAAGGAATGCTACGTATTGCCAATTATTGTTATTATTAATAGTTTTCTTTAAAAGACTCATTTTTGACTTAAGTGAATTAATTTATAGACAAGGACACTTGCTTTGTATCACCACTGTAAATCATGAGACTGACATGATAGATTTCTTAATCCTGATTCTTACTAAAAAAAGTCCTTAGTTCCTAGAATCCCCTGCAGACACCCATTTAGGTGTGGGCACTCCTCACGCTGGGAATGCTGGTCTCAGCCCTTCCCGGGCCTTCCCAGCCCCGACGGCAGACGCCCCTGCAGGCCCGAGACCTGGCTCCTGCCCCGGCTTCCCCCGGGGAACCCGGTTCCCATCCGGCCCGCCCACCCCACAGCATCCGACGGGCAACTCATGTAAAGGTGCTCTGAAAGGTCCCCGTGCTGAGCAAAGGTCGGAGCAAGCGGTGAGAAGGCAAGATCCCAAGTTCCAGGGCCAGTCCCCTCCTGAGGAAGCCGCTGTCTGACCTTCAGGACCTCCCAAAGTAGAAAGACCCCAACGCTTCCTGGAGCTGCTGCCGAGCCCCCCAGGTAAGGATGGAGCCCCAGTGCTGAGGGTGCGCTCTGACCCCTGCCCCGTCCGCTTCTGGGTAAGTTGAGGCCTCCCGCCCGCTGGCTGAGGCTCACCTTGTGGTTTCCCCAGAGCCTGGCGAGCCCGTTGGGATCCACGACTCGGAAGATCCTGGCGTTCTCGTCTTCCCACCTGATGACGGACTGGTACCTGGTGTCGGAGAGCAGCTGGTACACGTAGTCCCACAGCAGCCGGCAGTCTGCAATGGAGCACAGGGTGCAGGCGGCTTTCCTGGCGCTGTGAGGACGGGCATGAGGAAGGCGCTCGGGGCCCGAGAGGCTGGGCCCAGCGTGCAGCAGGATGGAGACGACGGCGGTATTAGCAGAACTGGGGGGCCATTACTCGTTGTCTCATTCAATCTCCCTAACTCTAGGGGGTGTTGCCTTCATCCCCAGGAAGAGATGAGGCAATGGGCTGAGAGAGGCAGGCAGACTCTCACCCAGCTCTGCAGACGCCAAAGCCAGGGCCCTTCCCTGGGGCAGGCGGCTTCCAGGTCCCTGTCTGCCCCTGGCCCAGTCACTCGGCCCCTGGACTCTGTTAAATCAGGTACTAACATCCACCCTCACCCTAAGGGAGATTCAGGACACCCACGTGCCATTGCGGAGGGCAAGCAGCAGAGGGAGCCCGGGAGCACCCACAGCTCCAGTCCCACTACCTGGGCCTCCAAGCCAGTTTCCTCACAGGGCCTGATGGGAGCATGAAAGAACACAACAGATAAAACCAAAACAAAACCTTAGCACACTGCCTGGCACCGGGTAAGTGCTCAAAGAATGTTAAGCCATTATTATTTTTAAAATCAAGTAACTGTGGTCTGGCCACGGTGGCTCAGTGTTTGAGCATCAACCTATGAATCAGGAGGTCACAGTTCGATTCCCAGTCAGGGCACATGCCTGGTTGCAGGCTCGATCCCCAGTAGGGGGCGCGCAGGAGGCAGCCAATCAATGATTCTCTCTCATCATTGATGCTTCTATCTCTCCTCCTTTCCTTTCCCTTCCTCTCTGAAATCAATAAAAAGCCTATATAATAAAAGCCTAATATGCTAAGTGTCTGGTCATCTGGTTGCCTGTTCAACCAATCAAAGTGTAATATGCTAATGATATGCTAAGGCCATTCAACCGCTTGCTATGAGGTGCACTGACCACCAGGGGGCAGATGTTCCAACTGGTGGGTTAGCTTGCTGCTGGGGTCTGGCCGATTGGGACTGAGCAAGATGGGCTGGACACGCCCTGGAGCCCTCCCGCCATCCCTCCCCGGCCCTGATCGTGCACCAGGGCTCTAATTCATATGTGCCCTCTCGCAATCCGGGATCCTTCAGGGGATGTTGGAGAGACCGTATCAGCCGATCCCACAGGCCAGACCAAGGGACCCCACTGGTGCACGAATTCATGCACCAGGCCTCTAATTCATATATCCCCATATATATATGATGTTTTAAATAAAATAATTGTGTTTCAGAGATTCCCAGGCATTTCCACACCAGAAGCCATGCTTCTTCCACCTCAATGGTATCTTAGAATAAGTATAGTGGCCCCACTATGGCTAGAAAACACCCTTTGGTGCTTATCTGTCAGTCTGTCTGCTTGCCTGTCTATTAGCCAATCCTTTAACAAGTGTAAAATGGAAGCGATCACCTGTAGGCTCAGGCTCTGGAGCCAGACCGCCTGCTCCACAGCCCAGCTCTGCCACTTACTGCTGAGCAAACATGGGAAAGTCACTCGGCCTTTCTGGGCCTCATTTCCCTTGTCTGTGACTGTTGCTAATAATAATACCAACCTCAAGGGCTGTTGTGGGATTAAATAAAGAGCCATGCCTGGCACATAGTAAGTGCTCAACTATTTAAAAGTAAATAAGGGTTTTTTAAAATATATTTTTATTGTTGATAGTATTACAGATATCTCCCAATTTCTGCCCTTTACCCCCCTCCTCCCAGCCCCTACCCACCCCCACCCCCCGATCTTCTCCCCCCGTATTGGCTGTGTCCATGGGCTATGCATATTGCCTATAAGTTCTTTGATTAATCTCTTCCTGCCTTCCCTCCCACCTTCCCTCTGAGATCTGTCAGTCTGTTCCATGCTTCCATGTCTACGGTACTATTTTGCTCACCAATTTATTTTGTTCATTAGATTCCACATATAAGTGAGATCATGTAATATTTGTCTTTCTCTGACTGGCTTATTTCACTTATCATAATAATCTCCAGGTCCATCCATGCTGTCTCAAAGGGTAAGATATTCTTCTTACTGATGGCCAATAGACATATAAAACACTGCTCAATGTTACTAATCATCAGAGAAATGCAAATTGAAACCACAATGAAGTATCATCTCATTGGATAACATTCATAAATCAACAAA